GAAAATTTTTCTTCAGGAGAAACTCATGCCTCCTGCACTTCAGTACTGTGCCTCACATATAACAATATAACAGCAGAATATACACAAGAAGCTGCTAGGAGCCTGCTAAAAACATGTCTTCTCTACTGCAGAGGTCTAGAATTACCTTTCAAGCTCTTCTCTCTCCCTCCTTTCTTGCTCCTCCCGTTCCCGCTGCTCACGGGCAAGGCGCCTCTTCTCAGTCAGCAGCCTTGTTGCTTCTTCAGGGTCAGTTGTACCTGCAGAGGTCTTTGTGGGGGCTGGAGAAAGAGCTGGTGGAGCAGGCGGTAGGGATGGGCTGGCTGCTGAAACAGATGGGAAGGAAAACTAGTTTGTACAGATACAGTAGCCAAGATTACACTCTCTGGAAAGGAACAGAAAATAGTTTTAAATATTCTGTAAAATATTTCCAAGCTTACATGGTTTTATAATTGATTCAGAGGAGGAAGAAATTTCTAGATGCTAGGGGTTCATATTCCTTAAGGGAAGTCTGTTTTTACAGGATATGTGAAAGCAGCTGCAGTTGAAAGGTTAAGCTAACTTTCCTGTCTGAAAAATAAACGCTGATGGGTGATCAACAGGAGTTATGCAGACTCAGCAAGCCCCTATCATCACATTTCTTAAGTTTGCCCAATTCTATTTGGAGAGTAGAAGCGAAATATTGTGATATTATACTTTCTTCTGTCTGATAGTCTACATCTGAAGAATAGAGCCAAACTTTTTGGTGATAGGCCAGTCACTCTTGGTGACTTGGTAATCTCAAACATCAACTGTCTGAAGTGATCTACAAGAAGGGTAGGGTTTTGCAGTTACTCCAAACTGAGATAACTCGTGGGACCAGAACACAGCTTCTTAACAAGCATTGCCACTATTAGTGAACTCTGGCTTGTGTTCAAATATTAATAATGCCTTCATATAAATTCTTTATCCAGGACTAGCCTTGGCCACCTATTGGAGAAGGTGTTACAGGTTTTTCTCAAGTAAAACACCAGCTGACGTTTCTGTAAGTTTGCCTGGCATTCTCTAGGACAGGTACAGAGTGTCTCAACTGCACGTTTTCGCTAGAGGCCAGGGACCATTACCAACACACAAACTAGCTGAAGGAAGCATTCCCAGGGTAATCACATCTGATAATGCAGACAAGTGTGGATAGGGAAGACTTTGAACTGTCAATGGATTCAGATTCCAATCCTGGGAAGATACATGTCAAATAAGTCATCAGGAACAGACAGAAGATTATTTTAAATCTACATTTCTAACCACCCTTTGGGATGTTACAGCATTTTCCTCACCTCACTAACAACTCCCAAGAAGATTTTCCTCCCTAATTCCCCCTTCCTGCACCTAATCACGTATGCAAATACAAATTCATCTGCTTTCTCTGTGCTGAATGCTCACATCTGCTGACCTCCCCTGCTCTCTTCTTCTATCAAGTGAAAACTATGCAAGTCTTTCTATAACTGCTTCAGGGCTTTCACCTTGAATTCAAATGACACATATACACCAGTAATTTAAAGAGTGCCAGGGCCAGTTCTTTAGCCCCGAGGTGGGCTGGCACCGTTTAGCCTCAGCTGGAACACTATTCTCTCACATTACCAAAACAGGTATTCCGTCCACTGCCAGGGAACAGTCCAGGCCTGGGCTAACCTCCAAGATGTAGCTGGGAGCTCTGAAAATTCTGGGATGGTCAAATATAAAAAGGTAAGTAATGTGATCACTCTAAAGGTTGGGAGCCCTTCAGAGCTATGCTCTTAGTAGCCTTAGTGACAGAAGATAAGAAAATGTGGGGCTGCAATTACAACCTGGATCAGAAACATATGAGAGAGCCTTTGTAATAGCTAAACAGTATAAATGACAGAGTTCTCACACCTTGGACCTTTTTAATTTACTAATGTGGATCAAGGCAGGGCTGTCACTCCTGAAGGGAGCACAGCTTTTTGCTGGTTGGGGCACACTTCTCGCCTCAGGTGCTGAAGCTAGCAGTGTAACAAGTAGCCTGTTTAATGCACACCTGCCCTGCTGTCAGAAAAAATGACAATAGCTTGTGCAGGTACACCCAAAATACCTTTAAAACTTCATTGGTATTAGTGAAGTCATGCGAGATTTGCCTGCAAAAGCTTGAATAGCTCCATCAGTGATCATTACCTGCTGATCTCCTGGCTCCTGTGATTACACAGCTAGCAGGTAGCTGAGCCAGACAGGTTAAAGGCCTGAAGGTTATCAGAAGAGCAGTGAAAACCCATGCTAACATGGCAATTGTATCTTCTTGACATGCCCATGGCCAATAGATGCATCTGTTTATTATTGTAGATCTCTAGCTTTTTGTGGGGTTGGACCTTATGTGGTAGAACCTGGGTATCAGACTGTGATTACTCTAACAGAACTTATCAGAAAAAAAGAAAGCAAATCACATCAGGTCGTCTTGCAGGACAACAACCCCCAACTACATATCTTGCAGTTAAATGCAGGATTATTAATACTTAAAACTCTTTTCTGAAGGACAATCACAGAGGAATCTATTAATTTTGAATTCAAAATCCTAAGTAACTTGTCTTGGGAATCCCAGTGGTCACAATGGCCATTCTATCCCATCTGGGAGACAGACAGTTTATGCCATATTTACAATGGACTAAAATGTCTGCTAGAATAAACTTACATTTTTCATTTTCAGATTTACCTTTTGCTCTTCCTACACTTGGTGTTTTTTTGTTTTTGGTTTTGGTTTTGGCTTTTTTTGTAGGTATATCATTTTCTGCCTTGCTGCTTTTCAAGGTTGGTGTGGTTTGGTGTGGGGGTTTTTCGTTTGCTTGTTTGTTGGGTTGTTGGCTTGGGTTTTTTTTTTTAAATAACTCATTTTCCCTGAAAAATTCTGCCTATTCCTCTTTAATCTTCTCCTGCATTCTTCTCTGCATTCCACTTTATCCTGCTAATCTCTCCCATGATGTGGTACTCTTGCAATATTACAGGTAAGCTGGTAGTGTTATTAGCACAACTATACTGAGTGTCCTGAAGAGCTGGACATTCCCACTGCTCACGCTACCTTATGTGATGGCTTCCTGTACCATTAGTCTTCAAATCATTATTATTCTACTTCAACAGTTTGAAAAGAAGCTGTGTTGTGATGCGAGGGACAAAAGGGCAGAGAAGAAGGCAGTGAAGCCACACCATGTGAGGCAGGTCTAATGTGTTGTTTTGACTGTTACAAGCAGGAGGGCTTCAGACTGCTCACATTTTCCTCATAATGAACATACATCTGCAGGAATATTCTGAAGAATTTAGATTAACACTTGATAGAAAACTATTGAACCCTACGTTGTTTCAGAGAAAGAGAGGGAAGAACATAAGAGACTCTCAGACATTCCTTAACATAAAGGAGGATTTCTCCTTACCTTGAGCTAGCTCTGCCTGGACAGCAAGCTCTTCCTGACTTGCAGATTCTCCAGCACCTGCTGAAGTTCCTTTTCTCTCTTCTGTCTTCTTCTCATTGGCCTTTTCAGCCTCCTTTTCTGGTCTTTTCTTCTCACTCTCTGGTTTAATCTCTTTTTTGACTGGCCGGATATTGCCAGGAGAAGGAGGACGTGCCTGAGCAGAGGAAACTTTGGAGGAACCAGGTGGGGAAGTTATCTGCTTGGATGTGCCAGGCAAAAAAGGCAAAGACTTTGACGCGTGCCTGTGTAACCACAAAGAGTGACAATCACTATCAGACTTTCTCTCCTGGACACCACCTACATATCACTCTACAACTACAATAGCTGAGAATAAAACAACTTCTCTATTTCTCTGCTATCAAGCAGGACTGCTGGAGCAACTGATTATCTTTCATGCAAAATGCTTCTCTTTGCAGCTCTCCAGATGTGTGAGTACTGAGCCCAGCCAAGAGGAAAGAAACCAGGTAACTTCATCCTTCTTCCCCTTCCTCAAAGCAGTAGTAATATTTTTCTAAAAAACAGGACTGTCTTTCCCTTGTTGCAGAGAGAAAACATCCACATCACCAAATAAGTTTGCACTGTTTCACATTTAATTAACAGAACAACAGAGCTGCCTATAGCTCAACCTCCAGCTAAGTGTGTACTTGGCTTACCAGACTGGAGAGGGAGCTGGTGATCTAGCTTTGGGGTTGGAAGAAAAATGACCTCCTTTAAAGCTGGCTGAGAAGCTGGATGACAAATGGTCTCTCTCCTTTTCTTTTTTGTCAGACTAGAGTTCAGCAAACAAAAAGACAAAGTCAAGCCAGAGTTCACACGGCTAAAGAAAGCAAAGCAAGCTCAGTTAAGGATGAATGACTGAGAGGCTAAGAAAAAGCAGTGCTGAGTCAGTAGTTTCTACAGCCTGTTTAACAAGCTCATTAGTATAGCTTCCATTATCTGGCACTATTTTTTGTCAAATGCAGATTTTATGACACAATAATCCTTCTAAATCACTCTACTGTTTTAAAACACAAATGGGTTAATTTGCATAGTCTTATTTTTACACAGGCCAAAAATTACTTTGTAAGGTTAGATCTTTGCTGATTGCCCCACAGTACCTCCTCCTACTCCCCATAAACCCTGGATACCATTTGAAGAAAGAACAAAACACTCCCTCCAACACACACACACTCCCCTAGGCTCACACTTAGTCACAGTCTCCATATAGCACAAGCTTTTTGCTTACATGCTTATATGTGAACACCACAGGTGTCATCAAATCCCTTGAATGTAGTACAACAGTTATCCTATTCTTTTTTTCTTGGCTGATTCCATACTTTTTTGCCATTGATTCTTATACATGGTATTGATTTCCTCCTTTTCCTTCTTTATTTCTCATCTCAGGATTTTATTCTTAAAAATACTTCTGTTACAGCTCTGGTTTGTATTAACAGAACTATTGGCTTAAAATAATATATCAGAATTTAGGCATCTATAGAATTCCTCCGTTAAACTCCAGATGAAAAATTTCAGGGTTTTGGAATAATGAGCTCAGACTCTGGGAGTCTGAAGAATAGGAATACTGGAAAGCACACTGAGCTGCTACTCAGTCAATGTGATGCAGAGGGACTGCCACTCACCGCCTTGGCTGGGGCTTAAGCACAACCCCTGCAGCATGTGCACCACACTGTTCTAGAACCTCATGAGCTGAGAGCTCTGCAATGCTCATCTCCTGAACTGAAAACCAAGTTAACAGCTGGAAAAGAAAAACTGAACCCTTTGTTAATCTTCATAAATCCAAGAGGATTTTTTTTGTCATTACAGTTAAAATTAGTTATTTTAAATTGCCAAAACCATAACTTAATATTAGCAACAGATAGTCTCAATTCTGAAGTCATTACTCAAGAGTAATTAGTCAGCTCTTTGCCAGTATAATTTACCAGATATCTACTGATTAATATTATGATAATCACCTGAGTTATCAACACATACACAGCCAGAATAAACGCATTACAATGAAGAAGAATTTTTGCTTGCTAGCAATAACTCTCTATACTGGATCTGTTTCATTAGTCTCAAAAATAGAATATTAGAATTTTTTTCTTAATATCAGTAAAAAACTGAATTCCTATAAAAGTTTAGAGGAGAATAAAAGATTCTCCACACCACAGGCTACTGAAAACAGCTCAACTCAGTCATTTTGTATTAACAACATTTTTACATTGTTTCCTCCACTAAAATGTATCAACCTTTCTTCTTTTTAATTGAAAAAAAAAAAAGAAAAACAAAACCAACCAAACAACAACAACAAAAAGAACGAAAACAAAAACCTACCAAACCAAACCCCAAAACACTTGCAATGAGAAAGACCCAAGATGTGCTAAATTGATAGCCCTGAGATTGCAAAGCGCTATGCACATACTATGAGATTTTACTACGGATAAATCCCAATGCTGCGCCTTAACTTAAACTTCAATATACTACCATCTGCCTGAAAGATTAAGTACTGGGTATGATTCATGACTTTCACTAACACTGCGTCCAACAAGGATGCCGGTAGCAGCACTGCCTCTTGATATTTTGCCCATCAGGCCAAATGAAAATGCAAGCACCTCCTATATAATAATTTGCAGAGATGACTTCACTCTTCTCACACTCTAAGCAAACTCAGGCTGAGGGTACAAGGAAAAATAAAACTGCTTCAGTTTCAGCAAATGATATCTGAACTGCAGCTGACTGCATCCTGTTGGCTTGGAGCACAGTCAACATGAATTCGGTCTGCCTGTATCACACTGTTCTGATTTTTCCTGAAAGCTCAGATCAGTAACAGTGCTGCTGCCAAATAATTCAGAATGAACACATGATCTGCAGGGAGCCTCACTTACAAACCATGCTCCTAAACCAACCTCTTCCTTCTCAGTGATGGAAAGTTCACTGGCCTGGCCTCCTAGGAAAGTAAAGCTGAAGTAACAATGCTCATGTGCTTCTGTACGTGGGCATGTGCGAGTGCATGCCTTCACCTCTATCCCAGAGGCTCAGCTGAATGTGCTAGAGGCCTCAGAAAGTATAAAGTTCTACAGGCTTCGTGAAAACAGATTTCTGGGAAAAACAGACTCCTCACTGAAAGAAAAGCTGCAACACTAACTTGGGCTTTAAAAGGCAGCAAAGAATCCTCTTGAGAAGAGGGCACACACTCTGACTGCCTCTTTGCCTCGTGAGAATCTAAGGCAGTCACTCTGCAAACACGGGCATTTTTCCACGCCGATTCTTTAGTGCATAATCAGGCCACATCACCACATAATATTTAATTTAAAATCCAGTCAACTATGAAACAAATTGGAGGGGACAGAGACAGCACACAGAGGGGATGACAGGCTTAGACAAATAGCCTTCCAACTATTCCTGTCCTAATAAGCAACAAAATCAGGTGGTCATGGCATGAGATGCTAGCTCACGTACAACTGGCACACGCTTACCCCTGCAAGATGTGTTGTTCTCCTGCGTCCAACAGCATCAGTAGAGGCATAAAGTTTTGCTCGGTCTCCTGGATTCCTACAGTTCATGGCCTTGTAGGACAGAGGACTGATGGGGCTGCAAGATGCTGAACGGGGACAAATGGGGATAACTACGGTGTTGGTTGGTTTTGTTATTTATTAATTTTAATTACAGAGCAGCATTGGAGAAGTGACAGAGGAAAGCCAGCAGGAACAGAAACAACAGAGAAAGACAGAAAAGAAAGAAGGTATTAATACACAGAGGAATGACTAATTCTCAAGTCAGAACCATCATTTGATACGTTAGCTTAGCCACACATATAGTAATGATACAATTTCAATAGACACTCATGTACTTTTCCATTTGTAAACTAGTAATTTCTTTTCAACAAATTAAGAAGAATGCCATATAACTGGGTAGTAGAAAGTAACAATGTTTTTCTGTTTTTATACAACTGATGGTTCTGAAAAAGCAGTGGACACAATGGCTGGTCTGACTGACTAGTTTAGCATATCCATTGACATGAGTTTCAAATACATTTGGAATAGAAAACAGTCAAACTAAAATCAGAATGCCTATTAATTGGTCTTGGAAGCAGAAGAAAATAAAAGGAGACATACACACAAAGATCAAAACACATTAACAATAAAAACAGTTTCATCTAGCAAATCAATTAAACTGCCGTCTACAATTTTTAGCAAGTGATATGTTTTTAAAAGTCCTTCTTTTGGGAATATTTGAAGCCCATCCATTTAAGAACTTCTAATATTTCTTGATAATGCTAGAATAACAGCTGACAGCTCACATTCATGACAGCAAACTATTTTACACATTACAAAAAGCAGGCTAATGACAATAAATCAACTTGGAAATTAATGTTTGTATGAGTAACCAGGACAGCAGTTTTCCTTGGTTTGCACAAGGACAAAGGCTATTACCAAAAGATCTCCTGCCAATGGCAGGTTATCAGGTAGACAGTGTTCTGGTTACATGTTCAAAGAGAATTGTAACACTGCAAAATGTATCGTGGGGAACTTCTTGCAGCAAAGTATTCTCGGACTTTATCTCGATTTAACTCAAGGAGAAGAGTGGGGAAAACTATGTTATTACTGCAGAGTTTCATTTGTTTGCTCCTGTTTGTCTTTGCTGGTCATTTAATGTAGTCTTAGCATAAGGCAAAGATAATGACATCCTCATTTTCCTTGGTAAAAACCCCAACATTTCTTGCCTGTAGATCCCTGTCTGAGCACACTTGAAAGAATGCAGTTCTACACACACTTAATTATTCCAGTCTTACAACAGTAGAGCTGCTGTTACAGGAAGAGCTCACAGACTTAACAACACTAACGCTACCAATTGTCCTGCACTGAGATTAACTTTATTCATAAAGAGAATCTCATGCAAGGGTTACAGCAAGGGCACTCATGCTTATCTTATCATTTGTAGGGATTTATGTTTAATGAGGTATTATAAGATGACCGACTTAAAAAAAAAAAAAATCAAGAAACAAGAAAACAGGGGGTTTTGTTTGTGGTTGGGTATTTTTTGGGGGGGAAGTTGGGTGTACCTAAACCAGATAGGAGCCAGTGGCACACTGTATGTTTTAAACAGCTTATAATTTATGTGGTTCCCACCCTCTGTGAATCAATTCTCTTGCTGCACCCTGATTATCTGATGTTACCGCCAAGGATGACATCATAAGTATTAAAAGACAAGCAGTACATTTTCATTTGCAATATTGACAAATAATGCTTTAGAAAGCACTCCCAGTGAATCCTGTACCGACAGGATTACACCTATTCAGATGAGCTTTTAGAGAGTTATTTTTAAAACATTTTGGTTTTGGAGGTTTATTTTTAAAAGATCCAGATGTACACTTCTGCTGGACGTCCCTAATAGCTCACTTAAAATTTAAGGACGTTAATCCATATTTAATTTTATTTTGATTTTTTGCATTGTAATTTACCTTTACAGCCAAAGGGCAGGGTAATTTTCTAGGGAATAATGACAGGCAGGGATGAGCTGAGCGCTTAGAGCACAGCTGTGAGCCATTACCACCACCTTATCATTAATCTCCAGGAAGTGTCCTGCATGAAGGGACTGCAGTTATTGCTCCTAGAGAATAATACCTGGAAAACAACCAGCAGTTGGATTATTCTTCTGGGTGGTACAATTCCAATTAGCATAGGGAAGGCATTTCAGGGGAATTACCTCAGACTGATGACTGACAAATCAGTAATTCCTGCTATTTGCAGTGTTTCTCAACATTCCACTCAGTTAAGAGCTTGTTGCAGCATAAACAATAGCAGACACAAAAAATCTTTATGCTTGCTCCAGCAAAGTAACTGCTTACGAAATTACATCACTGCTTTCTCAACTATTCCCTAATGAAGAGCTGAATTTCCAATATCCAGCTTGGTAGATGACATTAAATATTCATTTTATAAGTTGTTGTTTGTGAAGCGTGGAAAGGAATTTTGTACTTGTAATTCAACTGTTTGCAGAATATCATCCACATTTTTGGTCCTACACCACTACCCTTGTGGAAATGTACTGCAGCCTAATTAGTTATAAGAGTTCTTAAGCAAAAGCTTCTTTAAAAGTAATCTTAGCAGATCTCTATTCCTTCTTACCTTCTACATCCTTTAATTAGAATTAAAAAACCTGTCCATATCAGACAGGAAAGACCTGCCTAGACTTAGACATTCAGCATGGGCAGCAACAAATTATTGTAATGGTACAGTCCTGAGTGCATGAACATAAAAAAAATCTTAAAATAAAAGAAGAGGCAGCTGTCACCTGCCTAACACACATGATAATCAAGTATGACCTGGTTGTCTTTGGAATACAGTTTTGCCTGGGCTTTGAGTTACTTCCTGGCAATATTTTCACATTTCTGCATGTTAATTTTCCCCTCAGTAGTACATCAGAGAGCTGTTCTGGGGTTGGCAGAGAACCTGACAATTATGGTAACCTCACTAAACCTGTGCATTTAACTTCCCATGTACTAAATCCACTGCAAGCAGGGCCTACCTTTCTTGCAAGTCTAACATGTTCCATATGGGAAGTGCCCTGGTACACAGCGAAACTATTTTTTGCAGCTCACAACATTAGCAGTGGGTGCGCTGAATCAGCTCTTTAGAGCGTTGTGAGCACGTCTTTGCACAGCCACGGGCAGCGTGACGTTGTTACCCTGTGTATGTTGTTTTCATTCTCTGCACTGATGATGAGGCAAAAGAAACAAAGAGGTGGTGGGAGAAAGAGAAAGAGGCATAGCGAACAAGTGTACAAACAAGCTTTCATGCTGTCAGGCAGTGTAATCACGGACATACAAACTCATTCTGCGATGCTAACATACACTCATAGTTAGAACTTTACAACATCCCACAGGAAATCCGGAAAAATAAGCGGCTGAGACATGAAGTCTCTGTTCTTAAAGGTTTACCTGCATCTCCAGACAGTGCAGCTGTGCTTTTACTTCGGGCCAGAAATGAGTGAGTGGGCGTCAGAAGCCTGCTAACGATGCTGCTCTCCCATGGACTGAGCTGTAGACGGCGAGCTGAACGTGCACCATACAAGCAAGATGTTAGTTGAAATGCTTCATAAATAAGTACAAAGTATTAGTATTATCTCCTCACTACTACATGATATTAAAAGCTTGACACTGTCCTTTAGAGATCAAAAGCATACAATTGTTCAGTGTTTTGCATTTTATTCTTATTCTATTTTAGTAGAGGAATTCCTATAGGAACATGTATATCTGAACATTCAATTTGTGTTACTGTCTGTGGCATTATGGCAAATTGTTATCAAATTAATAGTGATACTTTGCACACGTGCCACATTCCCTATTAGAAATGATAAGATAACTTCTGTACTAGGAGACCAGTTGCCACTCCTCAATATAGACTTTGACAGAGATGTTTGTGTCCCAAGCTCTTTCTGCACATAAGGTGTATAGTCTTCGAGTTACAAAAAAGGCCAGTTACTAAAACACCTTCCACACTCTGCTAGCCTAACTAGAAAAACAAACCAAAGAAGGTCGTTACTACTATACAGAGAATTGTGTCAGAGAGAGGTTTTATCAAAGCATTGCAAAAAGTCACTGTGCACCTCAACTGCAGATACCAAGCTCAGCAGCTATGGTTGTCTCAGTAATACACGAAGCCACAGAATACAGTAAGTACATTTGATCATTAATTCTGTCAAAAAAACCCTGCTAATGATAATTTTCAATTTAGAACAGTAACAAGAGAAAATTTTTTGCACTGTTAGTCTGTTCTGAAAATAAATTACACATTGACTTGGCTGCAATCACTCCCTTACCTTGCTTTTCCCAGTATTGCCTAATGCAAATTTAGCTTGTCAATATATTCCTTTTGCCTTGTAAAATTTCTTTGTTTAAAATATGTTGTTCGCAGTGAAGTACTAAACAAAAGAGCCCCACAAGTTATATTTTATATTGAACTAGATGTTTCTTTGATACTCTGATGCAATGAATTTTTTTATAAAGAGCATCACAAAACAAAACATCCAACTAGTTCCATAGTAATTCATTATAGTAAGTTTAGACCATAGCAATAATCTTTATATGGCAGATAAAATCAGATATTCTTAAATCTCAGCATTCATTTGCCTTACTTTGGTGTTTATGACAACAAAACTGCAGCTTGAATTTATGAGGCTCAGTCTCTAAAACATTCACTGAAGTGACTGGCTGTAATAAACTTGAGATTAATTTGCATTTTTAAAGGTCGAGATGCATCACTTTTAATAGCCATAAACTCTGAATATGTTATTAATCTACTCCATGCTGAGCCCCATGAAAAGAGGCACTGATCTCAACCTCACCCTATGAAAATACAATTGCCTAATCCACCCTCAGTGCTGTTTTTCACTTCTCAAATTGCTCCCCTAAATTCTACTAACCCAATAAGGGGCATTACTATAGAAATATAGGACTCTCAAACACAGCACAATGTATTACTGCCAGAGCTCTTTGTGATTAATAATTCCATTCTCCATTGGTATAGATTATACAGAGACACAAAATACCCTACAGAGACCTCCATTACAGCACACACATTATCATTAAGCTTGTAATTTAACAATGATGAAAAATCACAGAACTACCATTAAACTGGATGCGATAGTGATAAAATCTTTGCTTCCTTTCTTCTCCAGGCACCATGCTCAGTGTGATCACTGTTTAAGGCTACTGTTGTAAGGCAACACATTCTTTTTGTTGTCCCAGGCTTTACTAGGTGAGGATCACAGGCCTGAGTATGGATGAATCTAGAAAAACTCTTCTACAGTAGTTTAACACAAATATCATACAACTTTGGGAAGCAACCTCTGAAATTTTAGACCAATAAATCAGTACTACATACACTATCAATTTCTTGGAGTTCATCTGTACAGCTGCCAACAGCTGATAACTAAATGTCACAATGTAATATGGCCCTCTGGGCCAGCCACAAACCCTACACACGAGGCCCCAGAGATGAAGTAGTCTCAAGATGACACAGCTAAGAGACCAATGACTTAAAACACTAAATTGCCATGTCTCACCTATCCCATGTCATTTGCCCTAAAGGTGAGTAGGGTTTAATACTCATCTTTACCCCTAACCCAGGGGAGCTTATAGCCACATCACCTGCTGGAAGCGATCATTTGCCCGCAGCATCCAAACCACAGCACTGAGGCAGCGGTGCTTGGGAGAAAGCCAGCTGATACCAACGGTGAGCTAAGAGATACCAGCAAAAACTCTCTTCTCCATAAGAGCAATGGGCCTAATTCAGAGGTGTCAAAATAGTTTTAGTCAGGAGCTTGGAGTAAAGTCTCCCTAAATCTCTAAAATGTGTTTAGATCAGAGGTCATTTAAATACACCTTGGCTTTGTGGATCAAGGCCATCACATACTGAATTCTCAAAACACACAGCTCCCCGAAAGCAGCATATTTAACACTTTCAATACATATTCTAACAGTCATTTGCATCACCATTAATCTAGAACGGCCAAATAAGATTTTGCCTGGTTGAGTTCCAAGTACCAGAGTATTAGAACACCTAAATGCTTTGAACAACTTAACTTTGGTGTACAATTCACACTGAAGCAAATTGAATACAAACCAAACAGCATCACAAAATAATAAGACTGACTTTGAAACAACGAGGTAAATATTTTTTCTTGCTCTTTTTGTTTTAGTGCCTTAGGGTGATGTTTTCAAGATTTAGTCCTTTAAACCATCTAACAGACAGGGCAAACAATATTTTTTGTTCCCATGCTGGGCTAGGCTATTGCTCTTAGGACTGTTTGCTCCTTGTTTCCATACAGGAAACACATTTGTGATAGGGTTGCTGATGCAAGTACCCCTCTCCCCAGCTACAAGCAGGTTAGTTTAAACAGACTAAAGATCTTTATATCCTAACTTGTAACTGAAAACCACACAAAGTCCCAGGGAGCTGGGAACAGCGAATTGATTATAATAATCTGCATTTGTCTTCAGCATAGACAAACTGAACACTGCAAAGTTGTCTTAGCAGCAGCAGAATAAATTGCAAGTAAGCAAACAGCAGCATCTGATTAGTTCTGGGAACAGATGGGAGGCAGGGATTTAACAGGTCTCCTGATGAGCACCACGAAGGAGACTTACTGCTAGCAGTGGTGTTTGCTCATACAGAGCAACAAACATTCTGAGGAATAGATGGGGAAAGACTAGTCTATGCTTAGATTCTCTTTCAACATGAAATAATACTGGAACTCCTGAATTTCTTCTATAAAAGTGGCAGACAAAAGTCATGCAGTCATCAAGACTATCACCTGTTTGAAAGAAAAAGCACTGCAGAGAGGAGTAGGAACATAAATATGGTACAAGTTCTGCTTTTCAAAAATAAGAAAGTGTGTAACTCATACCTTGTCTAAAATACCATCCACTTGCTGAGCTTCCTTAAAGAGCATAATTACCATAATTTATTGGTCAGCAGCAGCTTTCTCCATTTGAATATGTGTATTCATGTTTCCTTACAGTTTCAACTACTCTGACTTGTACCACTAACATAAAAGCATAATGAGAAACCTTCTCTAGCTGCCCAATTATAAAACTGCGATAAAGAGCTATATAGCAATACTATACTTGGAATTAACCAATCTTTTAGGCAATTGGTTAATGAAAACTTTTGTCTTTTACCAGGCAAAAAAAAAAACCCAAACCAAACTCTGCCTTTCAAAAGGTAAAATGGTGCTGCTTAACAGAAGACATGTTCTTGATGACAGCTATAAGCCACTTGGGGTAAGCTTATCATCCTCATCTCCAGCTTGCTGTTTTGCAGGTGGAAGTATGCATTACAAAGTGTGATTGTGTGCCCTCTGGAACATGAAATGCGGAGCAGACAGCTAGACTTTTCCTTTGAGCATTTGCCTTAAGATGTTGAGGCCACTGGAGACCAGTGGCACTGCTTCAGATATATGCCCAACCAGATTTAAGTGTATGACTGCACAAGAAAGGGAGTATTTATAGCATTTGGATTTGCTTTCTGTCTTAGAGTCTGTGAAAAGCCTAAGAGACCAGAAGTGTTTTGTGCTGTTTTAATGAAAATACCAAGAAAAGAATGCCTCAACATTTAAAGTTTTTGTCAAATGGCCATCACTTCCATATTCCTTCCCATTCCCCACCACTACACTGCCTACTATTCAGTTTAACTTCTCCTGAATTTGAAATGGGTGGCAGAAACTATAACACAATGAGTTACAGTCCATAAGAGACTATGCTTATTATTTAATGCCTGTTGCTGTTCCCTCCCACAACCCCCGCAAGATCCTTCCTCTAAGAAGCATCCCCTGGCAAAAAATAGCAACCATCTGGAACAAAATATATATACCTGAAAAGCTAATACAAATAAAACTGACTTGATTTAAACATTTAGAGGAAAAAAAAATAGGGTTTTGGAATAAATTCTTTCCTACTATAATGCTGTATTTTTTGCAGGTTACCAGTCTCTACAATGAGGTTAGCCTACTAGGATTAACATGGCTCATCAAATCAACCAGATACACATGTACAAGCATGCACATAAAACACGGCACTTAGTTAAGACATGTAAATAACATCTACCAATCAGTTTTGCAACACAACCGAAATTCCATTCTAGAAATTGGTTTTGAAAACATGCATTTTTCCAGATTGGAATGTGACAGAACTTCTCATTCTCAGCAGCTGAGAAAAAGTCCCTACCAAGTACTTTTCTGTAAAGCTCTTTGCCCAAGTTATATAAGAGACATTCTTTTATAAAACTCATTCAAACTCAATGCTTTAACCTCATAAATCCTCAGACTCAGGCAGCAATTCAGCTACATTAATTTTTAAAAGCTTGATTGTTTATCATTTGTGCAGTGCTGTAAACATCAAAAACATACACTGAAATAAAGCAATCTTTGAAAAGTAACTGGACACAAAAAGTCAATAAACAGACCATATGAAAAACACCCATACTTCTTCAATAAAAATAATCAGAAATGTTAATAAAAGAACTGCTTGAAAGCTTCATGCAATACGTTCTTAGATACTCAAGAACTACTACCAAAGAAGAAAGGAAAACAAAACAATGACAAAATGGCCTAATGCAAATAAAAAAAAATCAGACATGATTGCATGCACCATGGAGGGGTGTACTTTCTCAATAGTTGTACCTCATTTACTAAAAACCTGACAGAAGCACTGCTTTTATCATTTGCTAAAGTGAGATTGTTTAGGTAAGTTCTCTTGTTTTAAAAAACCAAGAAATATATATTTCTTCTCACAGGAAAAAATGTTCAACCATTTACTTTTCACATTTGAAGTCTTTTCATTCCCACTTAGATGAAGTACAGAAAATGACTTCAGAAGCTTGTTTAATGTGCAAAGTAATACATCAATATAGAACATTCTTTCTTGCCTTTTTTTTTAATTTTTTTTATTTGAAACTGTACCTCTGTCTGGAGAATTTAGTAATGTTGCAGATGAGGAGGAGAGCCGCTTGTTAATGACTGGATCAACATGTTTCGAAAGGTTCATTGTTGAAACAGATCGCCTGTCTGGATCTAAAACAAATGGAGATAATGCTAATTGACAGCCCACATGCAGTAGTGCTAGTTCCTAGCTCACTAGTGGGAGGAGGAAAACATGACTAAGTCATTCCACCACAAGAACTTTCAAAACAACATTGTACAGGTGACTCAAAGACTGGGCACAAAACCATTTAAGTTTCAAATGTCTAAAATGTTCTGTTAATTGGTTATCATTCAGTTAGGTTGCAATCCAAGGGCTTAATGGAGGATCTAAAGTGAATACTAGTAGACAAGATGATATTTCCTCATTCCTTTCAATATTGTCAGAAAAACTGTGCTCATGACTTAGAGTAGAAAGCTTCAGGAAAGGACCAACATGCTTGGAAATGCCAAGGTATCATAAAAAACCCTTAGCACCTAAGTAAAAGGTTACATTTGACAGGGCACTGTTATGAGGCAGAAGGTCAGTGTCGTGACAATAAAATGCTGAAAGATTAAGGGAAGACTAGTGCACAAGGAAAGCAAGAGCAAGCACAAAAGGAATGAAAAGATTTTGTTAAAAATCCTGTAGTTAAGCATAAGTGCTAAACTTCCCACCAGAGTAGTTTTCTACCTGCTGTGAATGAAGGTGTAGCCAGTGAATCCAAAACAGCACACAGCACAGCAGGTAAAGAAATTGAGTATCTGTGGAAGGCCAGAGACTACTTGTAATGCACACGCTTGGTATATAACACTAAAGGGTTTTCTTTTGCTTTTAGGTTCTGTACATTTTAGAGCTGTATTATATCATTTGCCTGTGCAACCACTGCAGAGTCAGCATCTGCTCCCTACAGAGGGGGCGATGGTTATTTCAAGAATGCAGATCATGCACACTTTGTGCACATGTGTGTGTCACATGAAGGTTGCTAACAATGGCAGAAGAGGAGGAATCAACTGAACAGGCCAGTTATATGCTTTCTGTTCTCCTAAAAAAAAAAAAAAAAATAAAAAAATCTGGAAATCTGACATTCAGAAGATGCTGGGAGAGTCAATTCTGCTTTTGCTTACATTTTAGCATGTACCGAACTGCAGCACCACTCAGCAAAGCATTCAGCCATGCTGAAATGCAACGAGGCTTGAGCATATGCTTAAATACTCTGATGATTCATATTCTGTGTGTGCAAAAATATGTCCACCTACCGTTCTGGAAGCAGACACAAAATCAGGACACTGACAACATTAAGGAGGATCTGTTGCTGAAATATTATCTGCAATTATTTACTCACGACAAAACCAGCAACGTTGTATTTTCCCATTTTGACCTAGTAGACTGAAGTAAACTCACCATGTACAAAGAAAAGTTCATAGAAATACAGTGCATGAAAAATACCTTTACTCTCCCCAGATGTATGAACCATAAAGGATTCACCATAACTGGTTGGGGCAAAGAAAGATTCTTCCCTACCCGTGTGACTATCTTCTCACTTTGTCTAATGTTAGGTTGACTCAGTGAGGGTACAGAACCAGCAAACTGGGTAATAGAAGGAGGATAAAACTCATAAATGGGATTTAAAAGGAGAAAGCTAAATGTTATAGCTAAGAACAAGACCTCTACAGGCTAGCAACATTATCTCACATTGATCTATGGGGTATATTGAAGAGTGCTGTATGTGAGTCAGTACTGGAGACAGGATACTCAGGCTTCGTGCATCACAGATCTTGGTCAGAACAACGTTTCTGGGAATGGGATGGGGATTTTAATCTCTTATATCTAATTTACATCTGAGAAAATGTATAGTTTATCAGTACAGCAAAAAAGTTTCTACATTTGGCATAAAGGATGTACTACATAAAACAGCTTTCTGAAGGTGACAAATGACAATAAGAAAAATCACCTTTTGTATTTGGCATGCCAATCAACATGCCTCTTGTGTCTATGAACATTATTTAAATTAATGAAATTCAGCATGAGGATTTGTGTGTAGGTGTCGGCAATAGGAATTCTATAAATGTAGAACAGGCCAATTGCAATCCACTGCCTAGAAGATTGCTGGTTTCTTTGTTCTAAAAAATAATTTAAATATCCATGAGCAACACATCAGCCCATGCAGGTGGTTATACGTCTGTGTTCATGTGCAAAATAATTGTGAATCCTGAGTGTATGTAGTATGCCAAAAGAATTTTAGAAGAGACCAAAATATTCAAATTGGGTCTCCTTGAATTCCAGTAGACAGGATATTATGCTTCATTTCAGTGAATTGTGCCAAATCTTTAGAGTCAGCCAGTAATAACTCTCCATAGTAAAAATAAAAAATAAAGAAAAAAATCTGGTGCTAGCAACAGTTCTAATCTATCAGCATGATGTTAAGCATGCATTGCAACTACATGAGGGTGGTTTAGTTACTGATGATCTCGTTTCCTGAGAACTAGCTATGAGAAAAGGAATCAACAAACCACAGCAATTATGTACCAGGTTTTCTAGCACCACCCAGAGATCTGAAGTGGTGCTCCAGGCCTGCTAAATCGAGAAAGGTGAATGATGACTCAAAAAAATAACCTAGGGACAGAATGCAAGACAATGATTTTTCACAGTAAAGAAAATAAAACTCAAATAAGTTATACAGAGCTAAGCAAAAAAGTAATCTTTTATGAAAAATAACTGTTGAACTTATATATGACAAAGATTTCAGAGCATTCTTTTCTCAACTTTTTTTTTCTCCTTGATGAAAAGTTGGACATACTGAAATGCATACATTACAGTAGGAAGAGAAGAATTCTAAGTACCACTTTCTGGTGAAAGAAATAAAGGGTAAGTTCTCTATTTTGGGTTTGAGTCATATTTAACAGAGCATATACACATCAATGATTGGCAGATTAAGTTGGAGAAGATAATTGGGGAAAAAAGCATATAGCTAAAATTAACTTAAACTTAATTTGCCCACCTTTAAGTTTTTTCTAGGGGGGAAAACAAGGGATTTCTATGTTCCAAAATATCTTTACAAGGTACATATAGCTTATTACAAAGAACAATTTTTATTCCTTGTGCCTCAGTATTTGGTCACTTCCACCAGACCTCTTTTTTGAGCCTTGATACTTAGCATTTGCACATAGTACCTCATATCACAAGATTGACACAGTACAAGCCCACCCACACACATACACACAAACAGTAGCAAAGCAGCAGAAGCAAGAAGCTGTAGCAAGATAGTTACAGGATTAGTCAACTCCTGAAACAAGTTTTAACTTTTGTTCAGATTTCTCTTTTTGCTACACAAGAACGTCAGAAACATGCCATTGCTAGCAATAATAAGATTAAGAGCAAAGACTTTAAACCTGCGTACACTGAGTCATCCTTCCTTTTATCAGAAGAAAAGTAAATTCCAGTTAACTGGCAGGACAGGGAAACTGGCTAGCAAACCAAGCCTCCATCTTTACCTGTGTTATTAATGCGGTTATGTAGTGCTCCTCCCCAGGACCACCTGTTTTGCCTTTGTTTTGGCTTCTGGCTTCTCTCAATTGTGCGACGTACAACAGCTTCATGTCGTTCCTTAAGTACAACAATGATATGTTTGGATACTATTGGGTTTTTAACTTAATCATCTCATCAAACCCTGCTAACCTCCACATGGACAAAACCGAGCAGTCATCTTGGAGTTGTGTTCAAGCTTATGTGCTGCCTACTATGACACACACTGAGATGAACCATCCTAACTTAGAACAGGATTAAGCAGTAATTAATCCATAAATAAGTTAAAATATTAACTGTAATTTTGAAAGAGTATGATCTGTTTGAAACCTGCAGAACTGCAAAGAAAAGCGGCCCTGTTACGGCAGCCACTACACAAGCGCACCCTAGGGCTACTTCCCACCTATAAAATCCTAGAATCATGGGAGAGAGAGAGAAACAAAAAAACCACAAGGATGAGCTGACTCACGTAGGATCACAGTGCATGTAGGTCCCAGCTTAAATGAGACAAATCAGCCCAGAGTATATTTCATTACATACTTTCTTAAAGGTTTTGTTATGGCAACTAATATTTAGCTACCCTTATACTGAATGGCTAAGAAATAACAGATAACCACACAAACCTGACCCAATTTGTATTTTTCTGCATGAGTTTGTGCAGTGCCATACTCTGTAAACCAGACATGCTCAACTTAGCTGCATTTAAATCATAAAGGGCACTTTAAGAAGCAGTATCTGTGCAAGTAAGGCTTAAAATCCTCTTTTGCATGCTGTCTCCTACTGATCATGGCTTATGTTGCATTCTTTCCATCAACTCTTAAACAAAAAGTTTGATAGTATAGGATCTTATGTTAAAAGCAAGCTGAAAAGTGTTTTCATGGCATTTATTCTTACCTTATCTTCTTCTATTCTCTGCCTTCGCTTTTCTTCTACAGCAGCTCGTCTTCTCTCCTCCTTTAATCTCTGCTCTTCTAGTTTCTTTCTGCGTTCCTCTAGGTGTTTTTCATAATGTTGCCGGGCCCTCTCTTCTTTTTCTAACCAGATGGATTCTCTTGCAGCTACGAGAAAAATCAGAAATAAAAGTATTAACATGCTCTGTGTGATGAAGTCTTTAATACAATTTGAAAAACCAAGCTAAACGGAAAAACTTCTGACCTCATTTTCTTAAGAACACACACATAATATTCTAATCCACTTCTGCAGAGCTCTGAACAACATGTTTCAGAAATGCTAATCAAGACAAACCAAGAAGCACTACACAAGGTAAACTTTGCTCCCCATAAGGGTCTGACTTTTCATGAAGGTCACACTGTAGTCCACGTGAAATCATTTACATATGATACTCTGGACCTCTCCACATTGCTGTCCTGAAAGCTTTAAGTCCCAGAAATTTTGGTGTTCTAAAAAACCCCTGTTACTTGATTTTTAAAAATCCTGAACATTTGATACCTCTGGATCTTCATGAACTGACACATGGTAGTGCAGGAAGAGATGTACATGAAGGTCATGTGACAAACATCACTGAGAACCACAGAGAAAACCATACACAGAAGGAGCTCATTGATAACACAGCAGCAAAAGGGAACTGGGACAGCAAAGTGTCAAAAAGACTTTCAATTTCCAAGGCCAGCAATGTAAGGAAGATCTCTACCTAAGTTTAAGTATTTTTTAAATTCAATATGGGGGAGGGAGGGGAAAAAGAAAAGAATAGAAAAGGAAAGAATAGAATAGAAAAGAGAAGAAGAGTGCCTATTGTTATAATCATGTACTCCAGAGCAGCACCTCAAACTTTCAATTAGCAAAGATATCTGTGGTCTTTGACACAATAACATACCAAAACAGAAAAAACCAAATGCTTCCAGGTGTTCAGAGCAGGCATTGCAATCACTTCGTATAACGCTAGGACTCATCTTCACCAGGCTGTTCTTCTGCACTTTCCTGTCTACTCAGAAAAAACCCACCTCACCTAATAAAGAGCTTAGATTGCACTCTAAACCCTATGTACTTACATAGGCAGTTTCACAAAAAAATCGCTATCCTGTGTAGACCAGTTCATATGTAGAGTATCAGTGAAGAAATTTTTCCTAATATCCAATCTGAACCTCCCTTAGTGCAACTTAAGGCCATTTCCTCTTGTCCTATCACTAGTTACCTGAGAGAAAAGACACACACCCACCTTGCTACAACCTCCTTTCAGGTAGTTGTAGAGAGTGATAAGGTCTCCCCTCAGCCTCCCCTTCTCTAGGCTAAAGAACCCCAGTTCCTTCAGCTCCTCATGAGGCTTGTTCTCCAGCACCTTCACCAGCTTCTCATGATGCTGTCTTTCTATTACCCAGGTCCAGAGAAGACTGAGACCACTTTTTCCAACAATTTGGGTTACAACACGAACAACTGATGTGTAAGACATGTCACCTCCAAGGTACTGTCCCCTCTTTTTGTCTTTGCCTTCTGCTTAACAGTCCAACTTCACTAACCAATGCCTTGGGCAGAACCACTATCAGCTTGTCCCCAGAAAGGTGGCGATTTTTGCAAAAGCTTGCTCTTCCCATTAGCTTCTGCACAGCTGGATTGAGAAACAGGGTCAGCCCAAGAATGGGCAGCCACATCAGCGAGTTGTAATGTTCTTGACACTTACTCTACGTGCATTTATCTTATTTTCTTCAGCAGATGAGGATAACATTCTCCAAAAGTAACAATCGAGTTAATTTCAACCAACCACTTTTTCAAAAAAATAAAGATATACTTATCACCTTTAACACCATCTAAAAACTGACAAAAGACATTTCTAAAGTGCTTACACTTAAAGGGAAAAATAACAAAGAGTAAAACTAACCTTCTGCACTGCAAACATTTCATGTTAACTCTTCTTTGATGAAAATTTCAGAGATAGTTAACACTTATTATTACAGGACAGGACCACTTCAGACTTCCCTACTCAAAAGACATACATTTTAAAATTTCATTAACTTTTACCCATTTTGGTGTGGTTTCATTACTATTTTAACCAAAGTGCTGGCTGACACCCAAGAGCAGCAGCATTCGCCCTTCTCTAGGCCCTGAGTTTGTACTCCTACTCACCATGCTGACAGTGTTGCTCAGGGGACTGAGATCAGATGGACCAAGGAAACAATCTGGTTAAAACCAGGTTGCTTCCATGCCTTTTTTCTTCCAACACTTTTAGCTGCAGCCAGTTGTGGTGGAGGTTGGTCAGCCTGGGCAGATGGCTGAGCAGACATGGTAAAGCAAGACCCCCACGCTGAGTGGTTTTAAGGGGTTCTGAAACCAGAGGAAGCCTTGCTGCAGAAACGGGACCGCTGGGCAGTGCAGCACAGCCTGCCTGAGCTCTCCTGAAGGGAGACAGGGCTCAATAGTTTGCTGAATTCGACAGCAGGTCAATGCAATACATGTCGAGAAGCTGATTTCACTTTATTGACACCAGACTATGACACTAGACTAATTCAAACCCACCCTACACCTAAAAGGAAGGTTACAGAATATGGTTTCTCTGTATTTCACAGATTTAGGAAAGCCTCTGCCCCAAACTCTCAGTCATTGCCTATTTCCACACACATTAAATTCAAAAGTTTTTGTCTCATCTTCAAAGACCCCTGCAGTTCTGTTTGGCGCAATATCACATTCCTGTTTCTCTGACAAGTCACACTCCTAGCTTAGGATATATTTTCTCCAAAAATCAATTCTTTCTCCTCCATCAACAGAACCGATTAGTATACACTGGACACCTGTCTGAAGACAGAAGTTTCACAAAAGACACAGTGGGGTTGGGAGATCATGCCTGTTATTCATGAGGATACAAAAGGAAGGAAAGAGGCACTCAGAGCTTGAGTTTACGGGTTCAGACAGGTAAAATATTTTACTTCATAAAACCAAACTTCAACAGAACTTAACTAATAATACACTGTGAACAACACAATAATTTTAATATTTTTTTCCAATTTCAAGCCTAGGTTTTGATCTTCTTCTTCTTCTTCCTCAAATAATTGTTCATTTATGCTAGACTAAAGTAATGTTAAATAACTGCTAAATGCCATTCCTGGAGGATATGTTATTATCATAATCTCTTTCTGTATAATTACTTCCTGTGAAGCTTCTCCTGCTAGTTTTCATTTTCAGAATTATTTCCTATTTGAGTCCACTGTTATGTTTTATTTCTGATATAGAAATGTTTAGAGGGTTCATTTCAGTCCTGAGGACAGCATTGCACAGATACATACAGATGCAGAGCCTGTAATACTTTAACTTTAAAAAGCTATATGACTTCTTTTATTCTAACATGTACAAACTATAACAATTAGACAAACAATAAAGATTGGAAATGATGGAAAGTATCCCTAGGTGTCACAGAAATTGATTTTTAGGGGAAAAAAAAAAAAGGAGAATCATATCATTCCCTATCCTCCTCTTAAAAGGAAATCTGGAGTCCATTTCATTTATTGCATGCAAAATTTGCATAATTTGATCTGTGTTATAAACTTTATCTTTCCAAGCTAACCATTCAAGAGTTGAACTATATTGTTCCCTGATGCAACATCATATGTTTGCAATCTAAATTAGACCTATATTCACATAGGAAATACTCTAGAGTCTTACAGCATCCTGTGAACATGGTGCTATGCAAATGAATTTTTTAAAAAGTGCACACACCCTGTCACATAGACCCTGAACACACTAAGTAACCCAAACAATGCAGTTGTTCAAAACTAGAATTCAATCAAACCATTTTGCACAAGTTTTGAAACACCTGTTCTCTTTGAAAAAGCTAAGAGCACCTAAGGAGCTTAGTAGCGCGTATCTCATCAAAGTCCCTCTAGCTGCAGCATGTTGGCTTTTACGCAGTAGTCACTTATCTATGGACTCTAATGATCCATGGACTTTAACGATCGTATCAAGACAAGCCACTGCTGTGAGCCAAAAGACTTCCACAGATCGTGAGATCAACTGGATCTTTTGTGCCTGGAATCTGCTTACAACAGCCACCCAGCATGAAAAGGCTCCTTGGTTTTCTACTGAAAATAAAGCGCTTCCTGAGGGATACCAGAAATTAAGAAAAGCAAAAAAAACCAAAACCCCTTTCTTAACTGATATCACTAGAATATTAATTTGCCTATAAAAGACATGGAGATTGTTTGTTCTTTCTGTCATTAATGTAAATGCTTAGATCTCCTTGGGACATCATTTGTGGTGTTTCCACAGGCTTCAGGTTGCCAGGTTGTTTAGAAAAAGTAATGAAAATAATGTATTTGAACTTTCAAGACTAGGTTCAGGAAAAGAAAGGCTGAAAATATTTTTGTGTTTTGGTATGTAAAAGAGTTAGCTTTCACATGCACACTCACTGATGGGAAGACAATTAGAATGCTAAACCTCTGCATAGAATGATAAACTTCAACTTTCTGCTCCTCAGAGAAGGGAGGATAAAATCATATTTTTGATAAGGAAAGACAACTCAATAACAGAAACACACATTAATGATTTATTCCAGCCAAACACTTCCAAGGCAAATGGAAGTATTAGTCTGGAATAAATTATAACAAAAGAAATATGTCTGATTTCAAACAGATATAAAAGCTATGTCTTTCCATTACCTTTAAGGCATCAGAAAACATACACCCATCTGTTAACATGAGGAAGCTACTAATTTTACGCATGGATCAAGTATTTAAATAGTACATAAAAGCATGATTTATGATACCTCTGTTTTCTGAGAAGAAGTGCAATATCTATTTTCATTAATTTAACTTTTTCTGCAGATAGGGAAACAATCTTTCCTGGTTTTATTTTTTTTAAAAAAAGTATTAATTCCTATATTTTCTCTTATTAGAGAATCAAAGGAGAATATTTGTTTTGTTTTCACTGCTTCTTGTCTGGATTACTGACACTCTTGCATGAACTTGAAGGTACAGTTTTTGCCATCTACAAGGTAGGTACACAGCAACCTAAGTTAGTGTTGTTAGATAGGATGATATCTCCAGGAAAAGTTGAAAATAATGTATTTTAATTTCATTCTCATGCCCCTATTTATGAATTTGCAGAAACTTATTTC